TTTCTCTTGCATTGTTTCTCTTTTGACTTAGTTAATATAATACAGACAAGTTAAAAAGCGTTTTTCGCTATCTTTTTCTTTTTTTTTCATAATGAAACTTTAATATACATTTTATTTTCGGTGTTGTTTAGAAGTATTAGTGTGTTATAGATAATATTGAAAACTGAGCACATTAAAATAGAATGTTTGCGGACAATTCACACCCACATCCCAATCTTCATCCACTCGCATGTGCGGGAGGGACGACTCTGTATTTAATGTATGAAGATTCATCCATTGTGTCATGATGTTGTTAATTGTTATCCTGTTGATTATATTTCTTGTTATACATATCCGACATGTGATTATTTAAGTAGCTCGTAATTAACATTTTTATTATTTTGCATTCTCTTCCTTTATAATCAATGATGTCAAAAGTTTTCTGTTGGATCTTTGAAAATATGTAGATTTTCTAAAAAAGATGCCTGTTATTTCATAATCAAAGAGAACATCGCCTAGCTGCTTATGTTTCATTTGTCAAATAATCTGAAGAATAGCGTCTTCACCTTTCCAATTAGTATCTATGTACATGATTTTTCAGAAAAAAAAACAAGAATAATTGTTTGCATTTGAGGTATTCTTTACATGAGTATCAAGGTGAAAACGTAATAGTCAATCAATGGAGGTATAGACAATAAGCAATGAGTTTTTCCTAAATCTTTTTCTGATAAAATGCGGTAGACTTATTTAAATATAGTAATGCACTTTCAGTTGATATAATGCTCCAGCTTCTACATAGCATACTTTGAAGCAGTAGAAAATTCACACAACAAAGATTTCGATGCGATTCTGTTTATTTTGATGAGGACGGATGAAGATAACATAGGAGGTTTGTTTTATGTGAAAAAAAGTTGCTCACAAAAAAATTCTGATAAAAAAAAACGCATCTTATTTTCACCTAAAAATTTGAATTTCTTATGTACAATGAGCGTTTTTCGTTAGAAATAACACTTCAATTACTTTTGTGTTTAAAAAAACGTCAAAATTTCGCATATCTGTCTGCTTGAATGTGTGCTAGCCGTAAAACACTACTTATTTTGGACCATTTTTAAATGATTATGCAACACCAAGAAATATACCTATATATTAAAAATTTCAACGAAAATAGATGAGCTGTCTATAAATTATTTGAAATACAATTTACAAAAAGTCAGATCACAAAGTGAATGAAATTCGTTTTCCTTCAATTTTTATCTAAACAGAGAAAATTCAAAACTAAGGCTGGTCTATACGAAACGCAATAATATTTACAAAAAAAGCACTATGATTTTTGTATACTTGTCGAGTTATGATTGAATCGAAGTAAAGGAGAGAGAGAGAGCTATTACTTTTTGATGAGTGTAGAACTACAACATTGTTACTTGAAAGAGGTTATATCACAATAAGAATCGTAAGATCTCCTTCTCAGATTCTAATACTGAACGAGAACATAGAAATCTCTTTAGAATTTCATGTTAAGCAGTTTTCTCTTCCTCGACATCGAAAGTATTTCCTTACGATGTGCTTTTTTTTTAAAGACTACGTTACAGAAATACTGTCTCATTTATAGTACTTTCTTGTGTATGAGAGACAAAAATCTCTTCGATAATGACGATCTCTTTTCTGTTTCGTTCATTGTAGTAATTTCTAATATTCCAGAGAGGTAGTCCTGGGTATTGATCAGAATCGACATTTATGTACTAAACAGAGATGAGCGAGTCGGATTTTACAAAACTGAACTTCATGTATCCGTTGATATAAATTAACATCTTCAATAAAATAATCATCAATAGTTGCTATATACAAAAAAGATACTAGATTAACACAACAGAGCCTGAATTACTTTGAATAACATTAGTTGATTGATTATTTTCTCTACTTGATGATATATTAGATATTGCTGTTATTGAATCTACATCAAAATTTGGCATTAAAATTCTTTATCTTAATTTTGATGAAAGAAATTTTAAAACAGTAAATATGTAAGATCAATATTATTATTCGTTATACTACAATGACTGATTCTAATTACGATTTTTTTCTCCTTTTCGGTTCGTATTATTTTTTAATCGCATTACAATTATGCAATTAAACATATACTGAGGAAACATTCTCGTACATTTCAGAAATATCATATATATAATTTCTAGAATATTGATTATTCTGAGACTTCTTAAATATTTAATAAGTAATTACATATTTCATTTAGCTTTTTATTTATTAATTACTATTATTTCATATAAATCAAAACAGTTTTATATATCTACTCATCTTCCTCAGAATAGAGAATTCATTCTATTGTTTCTTTTCTACTACCAAAACGAACATATTTCTAGTATTAAAATAATGATTTATTTATTGAATCTGATTCTATTGCAATATTTTCATTCGTATAGTTTGATATTTCAGAATCTGATGACAATACTAAAATAAATGTATCTAATTTAAGTATATAAAAACTTATTTGAGACAAACCTATTTCGGTCGACATTGAATATACAAAATAGAATCGCTTTAACAACAATACAATTCACAGATATAATAAGACTATAATGAATTTTATATTTTGAGTTCACGCCACAATAACTCACCACACGATAGAAAACATAAAATGTAAATTTTTTTTTGTAAATAAACTGTATAGGAGAATAAAATTTTTTTTTTTAAGTATTTTTTTATATGAATAATTTATTTTGTTTATTCCATTCCTAAAACAAGAAAACTGAAATCTTTCAAACAACGTTTGGTGAAAAGAAATTATATGATTTTACTATCACCTTTAAACGTATTTAAATCATCTAGTAGCTTGTATTTCTTTATTATACCATTGAACAACATATTATTAAAAAAATATCCTTTTACTTTCATTTGTAAATAATTTTAAATTATATAGTTGTTTTTTTTCGTTTATCTAACCAATAAGGAAAGTTTGGTGAAAAGAAAAATTAGATCATTTTATTATCATTTTTAAAAGTACAAAAAAGTTATATTAATTTAGTATCGTTTTTTAATGTATTTAAATCTTCTAATACTTTGTATTTTTGTTATTGTATCATTTAGTAGCGTCTGATGAAAATAAAAATTAATACAATTTTACTAACATTTTTCAATATATTAAAATTATACAGTTACGTGTATATCTTTGTGCTACCATTCGGTGATAAAAAATAGAAAAAAAGATATAATTTTATTTTGATTTTTAAATATGTTTAAATTAAATAGTTCCTTGTATATTTTCTTTATTAGATGATTGACCAGAGTTTGATGAAAAAAAAATTAAAGGACTTTGCTATCTTTTTTAAATCCATCTAATCCTTTATTAGATTGTATTTTTATATCATATCATTGCGCAGCGTTTGAAGAAAAAAAAAGTGTATGATTTTATTATTTTTTTTACATGTATGTAAATCATCTATTAGCTTCTATTTTTTTACCATGACATTGAACAGTGTTTAAAGAAAAAAAAAACATTTACTAGCATTTTTAAATCTCTTTAAACTTTTTAGTTACTTGTATGTTCCTTTTATCAGATCATTAGCAGAGTTTGATGAAAATGAAAGAAACTATATAATTTTACTATGATTTGGAAATACATTTAAATTATATAGTGTGTATATCTTTTAATAATATAATTGAGTAGGGTTGCAAAAAACAAATTGAATATTTCGATCATGAAACTAGGCACGAAAAAGAGTTTTACAAAGAATCAAACTGTTGTATGTACCATAATCGTCGTCTGTGTCAGAGTGAATGTATTTTACACAGACGACTTTTTTTTAAAATTCATAGTAAAAAAATAGCTGTAGTAATTTCAATAACCATGTGAAATTTTAAATAGCTATGATATTTTTAAACAGTTGTACCCCTTTTAAATAGCTGTATGTTTAATTAAAAAGTACCTCTTTTGAGAAGCTACGGTATCTAAGCCTTCTCATGATCTTACTCAGAGTACATCACGGTTGTTCTTCGAACAGCTTCACATAACTTACCAAAAGTCTATGCAAATACTTAGGAGATTCTTCGGCAGATCTGCATTCATCATACAGAAAATCATGTATCCTTAAAGTTTCCTAAAAAATATAGGGATTAGGTTTGATATTCTGTTGTTCAACGATTCGATATTCTTCTCACAAGATACAGATAGAATCTTCTCTGATGTTCATATAAATGATCATTCTGCCAAAAAGATTCTGAATTCTTGCAATTCTGAATAAAATCCTAAGATCCTTATGTTTTTCTATCAAAAACTTACATGGAATTAGTATTACTCTTTCTTCGAGAACTTCCTTACAGCAATCTCCAGGTGTCATTTTTATGATCAAAAAGATCTTGGCAAAAACTAAAAGTGACATAGATGTAAGAATCGTTACCAAATCCTTTATTCTCATAGAAAACTAGGAAAAGATGCCTGAATTTTTATCTGCGAAACGAGCATTCTCAAAGATGAATGTCATATTTGTAGCGCTTGCTCCCACAAGAGACGAGATCCCTTCAACAACGACGATTTCTTTTCTTTTTTGTTCATTGTAGTAATTCCTAATATTCCAGCCAATTCCCGATGGAAACAGAACGGCGTGACTATTGCTGGAGGCAATGGACCAGGCAGTGCCACCAATCAACTCCTCGGGTCTTATGGTCTCTTCGTTGATGATGATCAAACGATAGTCATCGCTGACTACTACAATCATCGTATCATTCAATGGAAGATGGGTGATACGAATGGACGAGTAGTAGCTGGCGGCAATGACCGAGGAGATCGATTGGATCAATTGTATTGTCCAAGCGATGTGTTGATCGATAAAGAGACGGATAGTCTCATTATTTGCAATACTGGACGAGTCGTACGATGGTCTCGTCGTAGTGGTACAACTCAAGGAGAAATCCTCATCGACAACATCAAGTGTTGGGGATTGACCATGGATGATCAGAGATATCTCTACATCTCTGACACTGACAAACATGAAGTAAGACGATATCAAATAGGAGACAAGAATGGAACTCTTGTGGCTGGTGGCAATGGCAAAGGTGCTGGTCTCAATCAACTCAACGATCCGTACTACATCTTTGTCGATCAACAACAGACTGTCTACGTGTCAGACAGGGACAATCATCGTGTAATGAAATGGAATAAAGACGCAAAAGAAGGAATTGTCGTCGCTGGAGGTCAAGGACAAGGGAATGCTGTGACACAATTGTCGAATCCTCGTGGACTCTTCGTCGATACATTGGGCACCATCTATGTGGCAGACTCGGGAAATAATCGAGTAATGCGTTGGCCTAAAGGAGCGAAACAGGGTACTGTCATTCTGGGTGGAAATGGTAAAGGAGAAGGAGCGAATCAATTCAACTGTCCCTGGGGTTTGTCCTTCGATCGACATGGCAATCTCTATGTCGCCGATAAGTTGAATAATCGTGTTCAACGCTTTTCAATCGAATAGACTCGTCGTGATAGATTTTTTTTTGCGTTCCTTTCGTTTCAAATAAATCGTATTGAATTGATGAAATGAATGGCTTATTCTATTCGCGCGCGCACGACCAGGAACCATCCTGGTGGAGGCGTGACGAGCGTAACGCTCATGCACGCACAGGACAGACTCATATCATTCATACCCTCCCCGTGAGAGATATGTCAATGAGTCTGAATAAGCCTGGTCGTGTGCCACGGACACCAAGATAGTTCCTGGCCAGTGTTTAACGTCTAACCTGAGAAGACGATCTAACTAACACTCATAACTCTATCTCACTCTCTCTCTCTAACTATAAAGAAAAAAAAGAAATGTATACTTACAATTCTAATAATTGATATTGAATGCAAGACGATGATTATCTAAAAGAAAAAGAAAAAAAATTTATTTAGATTCGTTTAAATTTAAAATAAGACTTACTTTCTATTATATCCACTGAAAAGAGAAAAGAAAAAAAAACATATTTTCAGAAAAATTAATAGGTTGCATATCGCTAACCCATTAATCTTAATGATATATATAATTTTAAAAAAAAGAAAAAAAAATTAAAATAATACCCACATATTTATATTGTATTGCTTGATATTATTTTGTTTTGTTTTGTACCATTAAGTCCATCCTAAAATATAATAAGAAAATTTGTTAGTTGATTCATGTAAATGAATAATTTTTACATTGAAAAATCATTCATTTATATACACTTGAAGAGAGTTATTTTTTCTCTGGAGAGACACAATTTTCTTTTTTTTCCACTCTCCAAAGAATTGTTATTAATAGAAGCTATTAATTAAACTTCATTCCATATATGCTTATACATAAAGCTTAATTGATTGCACACTTTATGTATATATGTAATTATTGATCATCAAAATGTACATGATCAATACACATATTGAATGAGATTGAGA